TGTTTATGTTAATTTATTGGTGTTAGTATAAAAAAACATGCGCTTTTGTTGATATCAAACAATACCTAAATGTCTTATTTTATTTAAATACTTCTTTTGTAAATCTTCTAGTCTTGAACAACCCTCACTACGAAGGTCCTTGATTTTAATTGTTAAATGCATGTTTTAATAATTAAAAGGCAACTCGTTTTATAAACTTATCTAGACACTCGTTTTTATTAAACACTCGCTTGCAAGCTTCGCTCGTGCTTAATAAAACTCGTAACTAAAATGGCGTTTATAAAACTTGATACATAATATACTATTACAGTGGAGTTGGAATCATTAAAACTCTTTTTAAAGAAATGAAACTTAATTAATTTGTTTAATGTTTTTGAAGGTATACCTTATAAGCTTATAAGGTATTATATAAAATATGTAAAAAAAAAATTATGTTAAATCATGTTTATGTTAATTTATTGGTGTTAGTATAAAAAAACATGCGCTTTTGTTGATATCAAACAATACCTAAATGTCTTATTTTATTTAAATACTTCTTTTGTAAATCTTCTAGTCTTGAACAACCCTCACTACGAAGGTCCTTGATTTTAATTGTTAAATGCATGTTTTAATAATTAAAAGGCCTATGTGGTGAGGAGAATTTAAGCTTAAATACTAACAACGCTGGTAGTTTCAGTGAAAATTGGAATCTTTTGAATAAAGCAATAATTCTTTTGAGATTATTTTTTTCAGTGCATTTTGATTTTTGGAAATTATTTTTTTTGTTTATTTCATTCAATAACTTACCATATATTGTTGATTCTGCTTCTATTATGATGCCTTTGGATAAAGAAATTTTAATATTGGCTTCATTACATTGACATTTTGAATTAGAAATAAAACATTTAAAATTTTATCAAGATATATTTGAAATTTAAAACATTTTAAAGGTTAAAATTAAGAAATATTTTTTTACTGTGTAGTTAGTAAACTATAGTTTTAATATTATAAAACGGTAAAAAATCATCACGAATTTAAATAATCCCCTATTATTAAAAATCCCCATACAAAATTTCACACTGCCTTTATAATTAAAAATCATTAATCCCGTGTGCCAGGACTCGTAAAACAAAAGCTCGCTGTGATTGCGTAATAACAAAAGAGGACTAATCCGACTAGGTAACTAACATTTAATTAGGTTCCGAGACAAACATTCGACTTTACGATTGGTGTAATCCCGCATCGGCAACAATGGCAACTTAAATTTGTCAGAATTTGCTTTAATTGTTTTGTTACATAACCTGCTGTTTTGTTGTTTCAAGTTCGTACTTTGTTTTAATACTTTTAACAGAGAGTTGATAGACTAGGGAACAAAATAAAGATTAAACAATAATTATCTTATATCGCCTGTGATGCAGGCAATTAGTTTATACCTCGTTAACAAATGAAAGGGATTTGACTATTTTTTTTTTCATAAAAGCCTTTAAAAAGCAAGAATTTAATTTTTGTGGTTTAGAGGAGTTTTTTTTGGTTTGCTGAAAAAATAGGATTATAAATAAAAGTCAGCATTAAAAAACAAACATGGTTTAATAGAAATAATAATAGTTTTTATACATTTAGATACATATTTACAGAGTTACATGAATGGCTTTAGCAACAATAAATATAGAAATTTATATATATATATAATACAAATATTTTTATATGCGTTTATAACATCGAATATCTTTAATATTAAGACACGTCCTATGAAAATTACAAAAAATGCTAAGAAGGCTTTACATTGCCCACTTACACATCTAGTCACAATTAAATTAACAGGTAAAAATTTTTCAAAGCATTTTTTGACAACTCGCTGATATTAAACATTTAGATTATTAAAGGCCGTTATATCAAACATTTTCGTTAAATATTATTTTTTTCATAATATTGGTCTTAAGGTTCGCTACTACGTCAAAAAGAATTTTTTCGAATACAATGGCACAAAATTAGTATTTATCAGGGTTTAATATTTTCTTACTTTATTATCACATTGGAATAAAAATTACCGATATGTCAGAAAATAGTTTTATCAATTTGTATTTATCACAATTTTTATGAATGCAAGCTTTACATAGGACAAAAACGAATGAATGGTGAGGACGGACTAAACTACCAACTTTTTAAAACAAAAGTTGTCAAATTTTTGTTTCTGATCGACGTAGCAACTCGTTTACAATAATTTCAAAAAAAACTAAGTCTACCTAACATAGTGAGCACCTTTGGTCTGGTAAAGATAATTATATCCAGAAAATAAATTAGCACTTCGGAATATATACGTGAAAGAAAAGCATGTTATTGCACTTTATTATATAGTACAGGGTGGCACAAAATGAATGCTCAAGAAATTTTAAACTTTAAATACTTACTCAATCGATAATCTTTTTCCTGATCTTCAATATTAATTCCTTCAATACCTTTCGGTTCAGAAGAACTTTGTACTTTATCAGAGATAAGTGAGTGTCCAAAAGTTGTTTTACCTTTTTCACCGAAGATAGTATTTACGTCGTACCTTGTATCTCTACGAGGTAATTATTATCTTCGGTGACAAAGTCATCGATTAAATGTACCTCTTCTTCCTCCATTACTGCAAAAAATTAAAATATTAAGGGTCAATATTGCAAATATTGGCCCTTTGCTGCATCGTAACATTTATTTATTAAAATTACAAAAGCAATTAAATAATTAGGTTTATTTAAAAGCATTACTGCAAAACAATAGTGACCGCCTGTGACCTCGCTTCGATGCAAGCAATTAGTTCATACCAGTCAATTGGGGTTCATGAATGGGGCTTGGTTGGTTAATACGCTGTTTGAGCCTATCTTTCTTCTGTCTTTAAGCTGTTGCAACTTTAATTTTAAATATCTCGTTTTCAAATTAATAGAATTTGAATATTTTTTCATGATACTCAGATTTTTTAAATAAAAGCTTTTAAAAAGCAAGAATTTAATTTTTGCGGTTTTGTGTTTTTTGGATTGCTGAAAAAATAGGATTATAATAAATAGATAGAAATAAAAGTCTGCATTAAAAAACAAACATGGTTTAATAGAAATAATAATAGTTTTTATACATTTAGATACATATTTACAGAGTTACATTAATGGCTTTAGCAACAATAAATATAGAAATTTATATATATAATACAAATATTTTTATATGCGTTTATAACATCGAATATCTTTAATATGAAGACACGTCCTATGAAAATTACAAAAAATGCTAAGAAGGCTTTACAGAGCCCACTTACACATCTAGTCACAATTAAATTAACAGGTAAAAAACGTGTAAAATTTTTCAAAGCATTTTTTGACGACTCGCTGATATTAAACATTTAGATTATTAAAGGCCGTTATATCAAACATTTTCGTTAAATATTATTTTTTTCATAATATTGGTCTTAAGGTTGCTACTACGTCAAAAAGAATTTTTTCGAATACAATGGCACAAAATTAGTATTTTTCAGGGTTTAAAATTTTCTTAATTTATTATCACATTGGAATCAAAATTACCGATATGTCAGAAAATAGTTTTATCAATTTGTATTTATCACATTTTTTATGAATGCAAGCTTTACATAGGACAAAAACGAATTAATGGTGGGGACGGACTAAACTACCAACTTTTTAAAACAAAAGTTGTCAAATTTTTGTTTCTGATCGACGTAGCAACTCGTTTACAATAATTTCAAAAAAACTAAGTCTACCTAACATAGTGAGCACCTTTGGTCTGGTAAAGATAATTATATCCAGAAAATAAATTAGCACTTCGAAATATATAAGTGAAAGAAAAGCATGTTATTGCACTTTATTATATAGCACAGGGCAGCACAAAATGAATGCTCAAGAAATTTTAAACTTTAAATACTTACTCAATCGATAATCGTTTCCCTGTTCTTCATTATTAATTCCTTCAATACCTTTGTACTTTATCAGAGATAAGTGGGTGTCCAAAAGTTGTTTTATAAAGGTATACCTTTTTCACCGAAGATAGTATTTACCTCGTACCTCGTACTCTCTACGAGGTAATTATTATCTTCGGTGACAAAGTCATCGATTAAATGTACCTCTTCTTCCTCCATTACTGCAAAAAATTAAAATATTAAGGGTCAATATTGCAAATTTTGGCCCTTTGCTGCATCGTAACATTTATTTATTAAAATTACAAAAGCATTCAAATGATGAGGTTCATTAAAAGCCTTACAGCAAAACAATAGTAACAAATAAAACCAGCCAGATCAATCATTGAATGAGCAAACTTTTACTTTTCTTTGCTTATAAACGCGATAGTCGACAACACAAAAGACTCGTGTGTTTATTAATAACACTTAATTAGACAAAGATGTTGCTAATTTACCATCGGAATATAATTAATTATTATCTGGGATTGCACATTTTATACGTAATAAAGCGCTTGGGAACAAACGGGGTTCAATTTCGCACGAGGCTGCTTTCTTCATTTAATGAATACAATGCAATTCATTTCACTTTCTGAAGCCAGTGCAGCAGAATGGAGGAACTTTTAAAGGAATTTATATTATGTTATTTTATCGACTCATATACAAATTATATTGTGCAATGGACCAAAATAAACCAATGTTTCTTTCGTCGCCTTTAATCATTTTTGGAATCCAGCCAAGAGCATTAATTTTTATAATTTTATATGAATTAATATCGTTCATTTGATCTTAAGACTAGATTGGATCAATTCCTCTGAAAGCCCCTCAAACATAAATCATAGTACATTTATTTATACAGCGTGTTTCAGCCAAATGGAGCACTACCCCATTACCGAGACATACTACTACCAGTACTAGTATTGTTGATACTGCAAGTACTAAGTACAGCTCTCACTGAAATTGGCGATACTGACTTGGAAATGCCCAGTACAACTGGCTTATCAATAGTACCTATCAAAGATACCACAGCTACAGTTGACATGGTTATAAATTTTAGTTCAGGCAGTTACTTGTCGGGAACTTATGATTATGATTACTCTTTACTCTATGATCTCTATTAAGGAAAAATCCAAAACTTTTTTTCAGTTTACATCACTATGGCTGAAACACACTGTATACTTTGTGCTTTTATTTGCGTCCCCTTTTTTAAATATATACAGCAGGGATCAAGTCATTTTCAACATTCAATATTATGCGGTTTGTGTGTATTTATTAGTGTCATGCTGAGCCTACTTGTGTAGGCTTCATGATTTTTACATTGAATGTGTTTTACTCTAGATAATAGAATTGCAAGCAGGTGGTGGTTTTAATTTTAGACTAAAAAATTAATTAAATAACCGGACACACTCCACCGTATCCCGCAATCGAGAACAAACCTCTCATTCTTCTAAATTCAGTCAAAAACTCTAATTTATATGAGAACCTCTATATGTTTGATCGTTTCTGTCATCTAAGAATGATGAACATTTCAGCAAAACCATCAAAAACATAAAGGACTCTATGCTAAAGAAAACCTACGAATCCTAAAAAACATATTGACTAACAGCTTGAAACCCTAAGGGTTTAACAACACCCCTATCTGGCCTTTTTCTTTCGTTCTTTGGCCAGCTTCCTGCGCTTCAGAATCATCTCGTAGAGCACTTCGAGACCTTCGTGAAGCCCGTCGCCTGTGATGGCGCATGCGGGCTGCACGTGCCACAGGTGCCCCCCTGGGGCTCCCCCACCCCCCCAACTCCAACAGTCCCAGCAACTTTTCCAGTTCTTTGGGCTCTCGCGCACCCGGAAGGTCCTGCTTGTTGGCCAGCACCAGAATCGGAACACCGGAGTTCTCTGGGGATTTAACAGTCCTAATCAGCTCCATTTTGGCTTCCTCCATGCGTTCTACGTCCACACTGTCCAGCACAAACACTATACCGTCGGTGCAGCGAGTATAGCTCTTCCACAAGGGCCGCAGTTTTTCTTGGCCGCCGACGTCCCACACCAAAAAGTTGATGCCTCTCGCCTTCCCTATCATCCCTTTAACTTTTTCGCAGTTGAAGCCTATCGTGGGGACGGTGTTCAGGTACTGATCGAACTTGAGTCGATATAGAGCCGTGGTTTTGCCCGCCGAATCTAGCCCTAGCATCACCACGTGCAAAGTGCCCTGTCCGGACGGCAAGGCATCCAGTAGCGATGCATTCTTACCCATATTCGCACCCATTGGGGTAGTTTTAGTTACACCTTCTGTTACGTTACATAGTTAGCAGCACTATCCTATAAGAAGACGTTCCTAAATAGACGTGCTCTTGCGTACTGTAACAGCTCATCTGAAACAAAAAAACGCGTTAGATCATCATCAACAATTCATCACATGTGTATTCTTAGAATGATGTTTTGAATGCATGACACGTGCGAAGTATTAAGATGCTTGTTTTTTATGTATACATGATGTATAGTATGTTAATATTAATAGTGCAAACACCTATAAAAATAACAGTTCCTTTATTGTAACGGTCATTTTTTACAAGTACATCTGGTTTATTCTTTATTACTTCAGGCGTGCTTCGTGTTTACAATAGAAATGATCTTTTTTACCATCAGAGGAATGTACGAAATTCATGCTCTATAGACTTCAACGTGTGTATCATAAAATACCTATGAATATTATTAAATGTACTTATATGATTAAAAAAACTGATATTTCTATAATGCACAAAAAATTTACATGAAGGTTGTGCTAAATTACATACATTACATTAACAACAAAGCAACATACGAGGTGTTTAGTCAAATTCACGGCATTTTGTAAACCACGAGTGGTATAAGCTATTAAAAAATGTGGAAGAAATGATGATGAACAAACAAATTTGCTGGTTAGCAAAATTTGGGTGGAAAACACCGTAATGAGGCACTAGTCTCCATATTCGCCAGACTTGACCTCGTATGACCAAAAAAATAAAGATAACAAGTCACTGAAAGAGCCTAAAGTTACCTAAAGTACCAGAAGTGGTTCTGGGATCGGAAGAAGCGCTGACATAAGTGTATAATATATAATCTAATGAAGATTATTTTGTTAATTACAAAGGTTGTGTTAATGTTTAACAAATTATTTCGTTGCAAAAGTCCACGTGATTTCAGGCAAATCTGGTTAATATTTGGCTAATCGAATATTTTTTTACTGTGTAGATAAAATAATATATTTTTCAAATTTACCTCGTATTTGAACAAGGATAAAGTTATTATTTCGCAATTATGGTATCGTGGAAAAGTAGAATGCGAATTTTAGACAATATACAGGAATTTGCGCGATAAAACATGATTAATTATGCAGGTGCTTCAAAATACTAATTGCATGACAAAGTTGAAATAAATCGAATAATTTTATGTTCCAAAATAAATTTATTAATAGAAGTGATATAAAATGAATCTAAATTGCGTTTCCGATAGTAAATTTTATTACAACACGTTATCAAAATCAAAGCATAAAATTATTTTAATACACTTTAACTTCAACGTACAAAATTTATTTAATACACATACGAACATTACGTCCCTTTGTAGAATACTTCAAGTTATCGCAGTATCCACTGACATACACTAAAGTTAACAGGTTTTTTTTTCAGTTGGCCGTGTATGGTCTGGTCTGGTCCGGTGAGCATGCAACAATCACAGTTGCCAGATACCAACATCTAGATATCCACGACGAATTTTATTTCCAACTTTTAAGATTGTGAAGAATATTCACTTTTTATGACGAATTGTATTGATTTTACTGGTTTCATATTATACAGGATATTTTCTCGTACTGTCTCGCGTAGACATTTCCATTTCCCCACAGGGGATTTTAAAGTTCATAACCAAAGATAATACACCCCCTCTTTTAAGCCAGCAAACATGTCACTGGCTGACACGACTGTCTGCTGTTTGGTGTTTATAAATCAAACGTCAACCGAACATAATATACAACTTTTGGAAACACTGAAATAGATACAGTTCCCCCATTTGGTGATTTATTTTATAAATATACAAGCACTTTAAAACCGTCACTGAACACTTACGACTTCAGATTCAAAATCGTTTTGAGAAATCATTACCTTAACTTCAAATACGTTTATCCTGTCATATTCTCGCCAAAGAAAAAAGGACCTATGATCTGATTTTCTTTTTCTTTTTGGTAATTAGCCTCTACTACCCAATGAGGATTTTCTCTGCTCCAGTACCTACAATTTTGTCGGTTGACTGTACCATTTAAACAGAAGGTAGCTTCGCCAGAAAAAAGTATTTTACGAGGAAAGTGTGGATTATTGTTAAATAAATTCATCATAGTTTCACAAAATTGTAGTCTACAGTCCGGATCATCTTTGTTAAGTTAAGACTGCACTAGTCTAATTTTGTATGGATGGTACTTTTCTTTCTTCAAAAATGTCAATTTTAGTGTCTTCACTAATACTCGGACGGCCAGATTTTGGAATATCTTTGACAGTCTCTCTGAATAGCGAGCTGGATACTTTGTATTAAACTTTTTGTTGTTTTCTAGTTTTATATGAAATATTTTGAGAAAGTTTATAAACACTTTTAAATTTTATCCAAAGCCCATTAAAAAGTCTTTTAATATTAACTATAAAACATCAAAACATTATTAAAAACTATAAATTTTCCACTTTTAATAATTAATATCTCCATATCAGCCCAAAAGGTTAAAATGTGCATATTGCTAAAATCACAATTTCATAATCTATTTGAATTTCCATAGATTTGTTTAAAAAAAGCCGAATTTTTCAATAAATTTGTTCCATACTATTGCCGGTAACTCTAGAATCTACTCTCTAAAAATTCAAAATTCTACTATTTGAATTAGTACCAGCATTTTTTACTAATAAAATAGTCATTTTCACTTTTAGTTATTTTTATTACGTAAATAGTTTATGTTTGACTAATTTAAGATTAGTCACCATCTTTGACTATTTCTGAGAGTTAAAAGTAACTAATTTCTTTAATCGTTTGGGGCCAACAACAAAGTATTATTTAAATTAAATGCATATACCTAAGCTCCATGGTTTAATGACCCATAAAAACAAATAAAGATGCAAAAAGTTTTGCTCAAAACTGCAACACAAATATTATATTCAACTTTAAAATATTTATTGACAAATAAAATTGATTTTTACAAGAGCGGCTGAATGGGTTATGACAACAGCTTGACAAGCTTGACATGTGACAGACCTGAGTTCAATCCCCGGCTGGGTCAAAACTTTTTTTAAATTTAGATCTACCAATTTGACTATTTCATTCAGTGGAATTTGACTAATTATTAGTGACTGCTTTTTCGCTATGACTTATAATTAGATATTTTTGACTAATTCATTTTAAGATGTTCAAACAGGAAGTTACTGCAACCACTTGATCTACAAATTGAACTGAGCCCTGGTAGATAGATTACATGGGTAATTCAAAACCGCTGTGTTTCATGGCATCTTCTTCAATCTCCCGCCATGCTAAAAACCCGGTAAACCGATTAATTTAGCGCAATCTGCGATAATAAGCCGGCTCGTGGCTAACGGATTTCTCAAATAAAACAACAACCATCCGCAGACACTCCAGTCCCTCTCTAGTCGTTGCACTTGTGCATGAAGTGGCAACCTGCTGATCTTACTGCACGATGTTGCCAAATTGGCGCTACAATATTAGATCATATTTCTTATAAAAATAATCAGTATTCAGTCTGTAAATTATGTTTTACTCAACATTTTTCTGGTTTTATGAAATCACCATGGCAAGTTTGTAGGCATATTTATTACGTAAATATTTATACAGACATTAACTGACTAATATTTACTTACGTCACTTTGTACTTGAGGCTCTTTAAAACGCTTTAAGTAAATTCAAAGAGGTCGTTATCTGGGGCAAGTAGCAGGTGTAATATTAAAAGTTTTAATTTGTTTTCGTGCTTTAACTTTTGAATAACTAGGCAGAAATAATTGTTAATATTTGATGGTTGTACCAATCAGCGGTGCTGACTCAGCACCACAATTTTTTCTTATAACTTAAAACTATATAAACAGCATACTTCGTTTCTTATTCAAATTTTTGGAAGAACGACAATGAGAATGGATGCTCTAAATGTCTTCCATACAAAAATACAAATTTTGTTGAAAACACCTTCTAACATTTTAAAGTTATTTGGAGTGATTCATTTACGATACGTTGTCACAACTCTTGTGGAGCTCTGTAACTCTCTAACAGTGTCTTGTTGGGACATTTAATGGTCTTCCAAGGGATGAAGTACATCTTTTAGTTATTCCAAATACGTTTCTCCTAATAGGTTACCATCAAGAAATAAAATGGGTCCAAAAGACCATCTCCGATAATACCTGCCCAGACATTAAGTTGGCCTTCCACACTTTTCAAAAAGTTATTATCGGACATTGTCTGGTATGACTATTTTATAGAATCCCTTATAATTACGAAAAAAAGTCATCAACATCCAGACTAATGAGACAAAATGTATCGACTTAAATACGGTACTTACATTAAAGGCAAGAAGAAACGTACACGACTAAAATTTCGTGTGCAGAACACTTACTTCAATCATACATTTTGAAACAGGTTTAAAGTAGGAACTGAGCAATTGAAAAGGCGCCCGTCCATTAAAATAATGAAACACCATTGACCTATTTCGTTTTGCTTTTATTTTTATCTGCTAATTTGTTTTTGCGAATGTCCTTTCAGCGTACACGCGCGTCCGGACCCAGGAGAGGACCTGAAAGGTATTAATCAGTTTTTTATCTAGATGAACGTGTCAATGAGTGACAGGGGACGGCTATCGGCCCATAAATCAGTCCCTACACTTTTATTTCTTAGACTCGTCGTGAAAAATTACTTTAGGTACCTGCACACGATGGCACGAACTTAGTTTTTAAAGTCTGCTCAATGGGTTTTTTTACAACGAGTTGTTTTTTGTAAAAACGATCCCATATTATAGGGTATACTTTTTGTAATGAAATCCTTCGTATTTTTAACTTTTTCCTTAACACCATGTGTAATGTGTTTTTTACAAAACTTTCCACTCAGGAAATCATTTTGGTCTACAGTGCATTTTGTTATTCTCGCCCTGTGAAAAATACTTTCGTTATAGATTGGCTGTGCGCGTATCGAAAAAAAAATGAATAAATAGCGTGTCGAGACAATAATAAATGTGGGAAACAAGGGGGTTGGGCAAGTGGAAAAAACCCGGAAAGAAATGTTATAGATCTAATGAACGTTTGTCTATGCACAGTGACAAAAATATGAAACAAATTCGTTAAAAAATTCGGCTTTTTTTCTAAAA